CCGGGGGCTGCAGGCAGCGTGTGTGCTCAGCGCTGCAGCTTGTGCCATATGGACCTTCTCCTCCTCCCCGCTCGCCCTCTCCGTGTCTCCTTCCCCGCTCTGCTCCCCTCCCCCTGCGAGCGGTTTGACAGAGCAATTGGGCAGGCACTGGGACGGCAGCTCTGACATAAATCTCTCCTGGTGTGGAATGAGGGGTATAAATATCCAGAGAGTGATGTGATCTTTCCAGCTGCTATTAATAGGTCCCTGGAGAACAAGAGCGAGCGAGCGAGACTGGCTGACACTTAAAGGGCTAGCAACTCCCTTATGTGCTGTGAAAATTAATCAGTGCTGTGGCTCACCATCTTCCTCCAGGCTAGAGCAGAGCCCTCGCCGAGGTGTGTGGGGAGGAGGCGGAGGAGGAGGGAGCAACTGAAGACTCGCTGGTTAGGAAGCAGTGATAGGCCAAGCTGTGCACGAGCGATCCCGCTAACTAACTAGGAATGCCTGGGCGGGCACTGTTTGTGCCGGCTGCTCTCGGTCGGGCGCCACGGCGTGCAGCCAGCCGCCGGCTCACCCTCGCCTCGCAGGGAGGCTGGTGCCCAGAGGTCCCTTTTGCAGTCCGGGAGCTTGCTGGCGGTGGATGGCAAGCTGCAGCCTGTGCCTTGTGGCGATCGCCGTCTTTCGGGCATCACGGGTCCGCCAAGTGTGCTTTGCTCTTTGGCTGCGTGCCGGTCTGGGCACGGTGTTTTGCCCTAGCAGAGCGAGCACTTGGCTTTTGCCGATGGTGTGTCCTCAGGCCCGCCTTCGGCAAGCCAGGAGCAGCGTGCGTAGTGCTGCTGAGCTCTGACGGCGCTATTTAGAGATGAGGGGTTTGGTCTGGAGCCAGTGCTTCCTGTCCCTGGGTGGCAGAAGAAATCTGTGCGCAGCATCTGGCCAGCGTGGTTGAGATAGGAGGAGCAGACCACTGGCCCAGTAACCCCCGGGTGCTGGGAAATTCCTCTGCCTGTGCACAGGAAAGGTTCTTGAGTGCGTTGTGGGGGTGTCATGCAAAGCACATAGCAGACGTGAGCAAACAGAGAGTAATACCTTGGCTTCTACAAACGTGGCTTACTCTCCTTCCCTCCTGCTCCCAGAGCAGTAGAGAAGACTGTGACAGGCAGTGGGGGTCCCTGCGGCTTTGGAGTCGCTGGCTGGGGTAGTGAAGAGGCTGTAGCAGAGGAACGTGGGGCCCTGGTGCAGGAAGAGTTATGTGCTCTCAATGAAGAAGGCCAGGAGTAGTTCTCACGGGGATGGGCATCTTTCTGTGCTGGGACTGTCTGTGAGGGCTTAGCGGTGAACATGGTTCGGGCCAGGGCAAGTCAGTGTGCAAGAGCCGCGTCTGAAGGTCGGGGGTGTTCTCTGCCCGCTCCGGTAGCCCCTGAGGTGAGGCTGGCTGACGTCCCACACCGCCTGTGCCATGCTGAAGAAGGCTACTTGCTGCAAGTAGGAGGTACTCATCGGCCAGGAGGGATGCACCCTGCAGTTACTGGGGTTGTCCATTGAACTGAGGGTTGGTAGCAGCCTGCCAGAACATGTGGTGTGCTCAGGTGCTGTGGAGCCACATCCCAGTCATGTCTAATGCCCACGGAAGAATCCCAGTGCGAGCCAAAGAGATTCTGCCAAGGCAAATAGATCCTGGGAGGAGGGCTGCTGCGGCATTGCTCAGCTGCATGCATGTCCTCCAGCCCAGAAGCCTGCGTGCTCTGCCCTAAGCGCCTCTTCCCCGAAACGCTGTGCCTCGGCCTGCGGGGCTGTGCAGAAAGCTGGGCTGCGTCTGGAGCTGGAGAGCCTCACCCTGCTATCCCAGCAGGCCCCTGGCACGTTGCATCATCCTGCCAGGCTGGAAGCTGCTGCTGAAATGGGTGCTCCCTCACCCAGGGCCTTGGAGCAGGAGCCGGAATGGTCCCTCGGGCCCCCGGGAGGGATGGGGATACTGCTTAGCTGACGAGTGCCCGCATTCCTGGCTCTGCCCTCGCCTTGCGGCCCGCCGCCTCCTTCTCCTCCGCTGCCTCACCTTCCTTAGTCCTCCCCTGCCCCGTCCGAGCTTTCTCTTTATAGGCTTGCATCAAGACCGCTTTCTGTCTGCTCAGTTGTCTTTTGTGTGTTTTGCGGAGCAGAGGAAACCGATTTAGCAGCAGAAGGGGGCTCCAGATTTCTCTTCAGGGTCACAAAGTTGTGTGAGCTCTGGAAACACCTGCGAAATAGCTCTAAGGATCCTTCTGCTCACCCAAGGGCCAGGCTGGCATGGAGCGCCCCGTTCTCATCGTGGCCTCGGAAGCGAGGACTCCTGTGTCCGTGCGTGTGCCTGGGAGCGCCGGCAAGCCTGCCGTGCCTGGGTTGGGAGGTCGCTGCTTGTCCATGCGCAGCTAACTGCAGAGCAGGGTCCTTTGCTCGAAGGGCCTAGGGCTCATTCCCAGCACAGGTGACTCTGGGCTGTGCCTTGCTGCAGGCTGTGTCTGGCCCTGCCACCAAGCAGCAGCCCCAGTGCAAGGGGCACCGTGCTCACTGGCTGCCTCTTCTTTTGCAGGTTTCTGACCGAAGGGCCTGGGAGCTCCCTCCACTGGCACTGTGGGAAGCTTTAGCCAATCCAATGCACCCTGACAACAAACTGCCCAGCCATGGCAAGGCAGGCAGCAGCGGTGCCCCGGCCCAGCACCACAACGTGAGCCAAGCACCCACCTGCAACCTGGGCTCTAAGGGTGTGGGGGCGGGCAGCCATGGCGGCAAGGCCACTCAGATCTCCCCTGGCAACTCTGGACTGAAAAACAGCCAGAACGCTGTCCCAAACTTCAGCTCCTTGAAGGGCAAGGTGAAACGGGAACGAAGCATCTCGGTGGACTCTGGAGAACAGCGAGAAGCCAGCACCCCTTCACAGGACGCAGAATCAAAAGGTAATACTCTCCTAAACCTTGCCTCAGCACGTCCTCCTCACAGTTGCTCCAAGCGTCCTGGCAGGACCTGGGATGGGAGCAGCTGTGAGCATCTTGGGTTTCTGTGCTGCGGCTTCTGTCCGGGCTTGTCCCGGCTGCTGGTGCTGCTTTGCATTGCTGCTTGTCGCATCCGCCGTTCTGGGACCAGAGTGGCTGAACGCTCTCTTTGCGTTTCGTTCCCTAAACTGTTTGCTACACCAAGAATCTGGGACTCTGGTTTTCGTGGGCTACCGAGGCCAGCTAAGTGAGAGCACGGTTCACTGAAACTGCACCGAACACTCCTGCTTTGCGATGTGCAGCCTTTCAACTCGTGACCGAGCTGAGTCGCTTTCTGTCTCCTTGCTGTTGGCAGAGAGCTGCCTCTGTGGTGTTCTTGCAGCTGCCCGACGACTCAGTCGTGGTTAGCGAGGAGGTGCAGCGAGGGTCGCTGTCTGAACAGTTCTGTGGTTTCGTCAACGATGGATGACTCTTGTGTTACAGCACGTGATTTCTGGAGAAGGGCTGAGTCAGTGCTTCCAAACCCTCTGGCTTCCCTCTCCTCACCAGCCTTCCCTGTAGCCTCTTGCGTTCCACAGGACTTTGTGCTCAACGGCTCTACGGGACGCTTGAGCATCCTGTGGCAGGTTGTCGGAGGCGAAATCCCAGTGGTGCCCATGTTTCCAACCAGGACTCACACCTGGTCCCCAAATGCAGAGCCGCTGTTCTGGCTTATGCCCCTAAGCAATTTGGTTTCACAGCCAAAGCTGTGTTGCCTGCCTGGCTTAGGACAGAGCCGTGCCTTGGAAGAACGGGTAGCATGTACCCGAACAGACCTCCTGCCCTCAGGAAAGCTTTCTCCTCGTTGGTTCGCAGGTTACTGTATGCCACCAGTCATCAGCATTTGTAACTTTACCCCGGTGCTCTCTCGTAGCTCAGACTTCCACACAGAGAGTCTTAAATTGCCTTGATCAGGAATAGACTTCCACACAGAGAGCCTTAAATTGCCTTGATCAGCAATGCCCGAGTCTCCTATTTTCCTGCTGCAGTGCGCTGATAGATCATGTGAATGTGGCCTGGAAGCCACTAGATGATGTAAAAAAAGGGAGGCCAGACAGGTTAAAGCACAGGACTGGAAGTTATCCGTCCTGTGTCTGATTCCGTGCCCCGAGTCCCTGGGTGCCTTTAGGGAAGCCGCTTCCTCTCTGGACTGCATTAGCCCCATCTGAGAAATGGAGGGATCACTTCAGTCTACAGAGGACATAAAAGGCAGAGTTTGTCTCTTGTTCCTACAAAGCATGTGAACGTGCCCTCCCATTCCGTTTTCAGGTTTTAGTTGCTAAATCACAGACCCCTTAGATTTCGGGTTAATGCCCAAAGTTTTCCGGCTTGGAAGAGCAGTCAGACACGTCCTGTGTTTGCAGACTCTTTCAGACAGTAAGAAATACATCTCCTTCTGAACTGCTGCCTCTCACAGGGGAGGCTGCAAAGAGAAGGAGCCCAGACTGAGCAGATGCTCCAGGATCTTTATACCAGGGCCAGGCAGGTGTCGGTGTAAGGCTTCTTGCCCGGTGCGTACTGGCTGGGTTGGCAGTGCTGGCGTGCAGCACACAGCTGGGCAAGGCCCCGGCCTTCCCAGCCCCTGTCAGGTCTCCTCAGCTCTTCTGATGGCCCTGTCCCTTTGCAGGTGAGGTGGCTCCCCGTAGCAAGCGACGGTGCGTGCTGGAAAGGAAGCAGCCGTACAGTGGGGATGAATGGTGCTCTGGGCCAGACAGCGAGGAAGACGACAAGCCCATCAGCAGTGCACACAGTGAGTGTCTACCTCCTCGCCCGCTCCGAAGCTGGAATAAAGCCAGGCCCTTCCTACAGCTCAGCAGGACAAATGGTGCTGCCACCTCTAGCTTTGCCTGCACGTGCTGACTTAGCTGGGTGTGTGGCATGGTGGGCCGTTGCAGTTGGTGGTTGCTGTGCTGGGAGAACGTTTCTGGCCGTGTGGTGAGGTGTGGGACCCGGTTTGCGGACATGCTACCGAGATGCCGGAGGAGAAGCTGTTGAGGTTGAATGTCCCTGCTGTGCGTTGCTCTGGCCCAGCAGCAGCAGAATTGCCGTTGGAAGCGTGCCTGGCTCAGCTCCGGTCGAGCATGCCTACCCTGGTGATCGTGGCAGCCAGACCACGCGACACGCGTTGCCCCCGTGTCTGTGCCAGGGCATCCCCTGGCTCTCTGCAGCTGTGCTTTCAAGGCAGCGGAGTCTAAAGAGGCTCTCGGGGTCTTGACGGTGGTTCAGGCAGGGCTGGGCTGGCCAAGGTGTGCACCGCTTGGGGCAGCGAGCCGTGGGGCTCTTCAGTTGTCCAAAAGCATCAGAACTCTTTGAGTTCTTTGTCCCTAGAATTCGCTTTCGAATTGCAGCAGGGGGAGTATCTGAGAGAACAGGGCAAGGTGCTGTGGGGCCCCGGGGGCGCAGCTGGTGGAGAGCACGGGGGTGCGTGACCCGAGCAGAGGGTGGCCTCCCGGCGGGGAGGGCCGGGCCGGCAGCGTGCGCGGAGCTGGGCGCGGGGAGGGCCCCGGCGCGGTCCGGGAAGTT